ATCTCACTTAGGCTTTTCTGATACCTCAGGCTACATCTTGCTAACGGATGTGCAGAATTAACTGGGATAAGGAGATGCTCCCAGACGCACTTCCAAGCTCTGGTGGCTGGAGGTGGGGATGCTGCTGGGTGTGGTTTTGGGGAAGGAGCCCGGTGGAACCGCTCTTGCTGTCTGGCGCGTGCAGCTGCCTCTGTTACACTGGCTTGCTTTGGAACAAAATGCCAAACCATCTTCAGTTTTCATGAAAGCAGACCTGTCTTCTGATTTCTTTTGGTTCGTGAAAAGAGGGACTAATGTAGGTCTTTTGTAAAAGCGAAGTGGTGTAACTCAAACTTTCAAAAAGGGGAGGATACGTAGAGTATTATCACGTTAGGTGTTCAGGCTGTGGTGGGCACATTTTTGCCAGGGACTCTAATAGAACACGTGTATTTACAAGTAAGATCAGCGATCCGATGCTGAGCACCTACCCTAGTCAGACTCTGGTAGACCAGAGAACTCTGAAGATGGGAAGCCAGGCCCTTCATGGGGCATGAAATGCTGCAGAGTGGAACCTCCCTCCAAGGGGTGGACTTGATTCTGTCCTTGTCCTGCTGGCCATCTGCACCTTAGCTAAGATTGAGCCCTGGAAAGACTCACCTGGGGTATATCCCCAACCTGTCACCTAGACTAGTTTCTCTATGTCCTTGACGCTCAGCTTTTTCATGTGTGGAATGGGCACACTCCCCCTTCTCTTGCAGAGCTGCTGCAAGGAAACCATGGGAAGAGATGGCCATATAAGCCCTTGACCTGTGATACCGCCTTGGATCCTTACAGCAGCCCTCTGAGGCATAGCCTTTTATTAATTCCCATTTTACAGATGAGAAAACTGAGACTCAGAGAGTAATGTCTAGCTGAAGTCACAACTTCTATTCCCTTGCCCACTCCAAAGTGAGACCACAGCAAGGAATGAACGAGGGCTTCACTCCACAGGCCAGTGATCATCGGGTGGCATATGCTTGAGTTTCGGAGAGCCTGGCATTGCATGGGGGCCCAGTAGGAGAGCGCTGCTGCTGATTAACCATGTCTGCTCTGGGCACAGGAGAGATAAATGTTGAGGGTGTCCCATCATTTGCATGCCTTGCCCTCAAGTCCTTCCTTCTGTTGATAGCTAAGTCTCTGCAGAGGTCGCTGTTACAATGAGCTGAGCAGAAAACAGTAGTATCTGGTCCAAACCCCAAATTTCCCTCTGAAGTTTCCACATCTCTCCATTCCCCTGCTCTATCATTAAAGGTGTAGGTAACACTACCCTGTGTAGTGAGGAGGGGGTCAAAAGGATGGGGCTTTCAAGCTTCTTGAGCATCGTCTCAGTGCCTGGCTGCCATGACTCTCCTCATGGAACGTGTTAAATCTGAACATCACATCTGGTATGATATTGCCATTTTACAGAGGAGCGAATTGGAACTTCTAGATGTTATGTAGCTTGCTCCAGATAGCACAGCTGGTAAGGGTCAGCCCTGGGTTGTACACAAACCCAGGCACTGTCTACCACATAACACTGATTCTCGGGGAGACCCAAGCCCCTCCACAGGCTCTGCCAGACTGTATTTCCTGGCAGGCTGCGGGCAGCCTGAGAGCTCAGCAGGGACAAACCCCAGCTGACTTCTCCAGCATCAGTGGATGCTACCTTCCCTGCCTCCTTCCTGCTCTGATAGAGCCTCAGTCTCTCTTGGGTCACCAAAGCCCCTCCTCCCCCAGATCTGTCCCCAGCAGCTAGCGGAAGGCAGGCACCCCCATGTCACAGGGAGCTCCATGGAACGGCCATCTGCCAGTGGCTAAGAAGAGGTTATGAAGCATCTGTTCTTGCAGCCTGGGTTCTGGGGAATCCTGGGCTACTCTGCCCAGCTGGGGCCAGATGGAGAAGGCTCCCACGCCTCCGGCTTTCCTGAGGAGCCAGGCTGGTCCTCCTCCACCTCCCTCAGTGGCTTAAGGCTGGAAAATGGCTCACCGGCCTGGCACTTGCAGGCAGACGACCTGACTTCCCACTTGCAGTGGCTAAAGCCCTCTGGTCTCCCCCTTGCCTATTCTTGCCTCCATCCTCTGCCTTCAGTCTTCTCACCTGTAGAACTTGGGGGAGGGGCTGTCGCTGGGGGGCAGGATGAGCTGCAGTGCCTGAAAGGTGGGATAGGGTGAGGGGGGGCTGCTGTTGTGTGGGCCAGCGTGGGCTGTGCCTGGGAGGAGTTGGCCCCGCCTGCTCTGGTTACTGCCTGCGTGACTCTCAAGAAGCCAGTGGACAGTCCTGCTTCCCCCAGTGTCTGAAGCTGCCTGGTTTCCAGGCAGACCTCTGCCCTTTGCCCAGCTCTCCCCCTATACTGGCGACCCTTTCTGCTCACTCCTCCCACCTCATGAGCTCTGACTTCCAGGAGTAGGGTCTTGCTTGGGAAACGTTGGGGCTCGTTTTTCCTTTTGGGAACTCCCCCTCCTTTCTCAATTGGCAGGGGGATGGGTGTAGAAACCCAAACAGGAACAAGTTATGGCTCCTACCCTAAGTTTTCCAGGTTTTAATGGGCTTTGGTATCTTCCTTTGAACTGGGATAGATAATTTTGTGAGCTAAGAAGGGTAAACCAATTCTATTAGATGTCTAAATTCACAGAACAGGAATGGAGGTGTTAAAAAGGAGGGTGTGTGTCCTTGTCAGGGCCCTCCTGGGATTTCTGGTTTCATTCCTTAGAATGGTCCCGTGTCAGGTGTTTTGAGGATGTCTGGAGCTCCGTGATTCCGCATCCCTTCCAGAACGGGTGTGAGGGTCACTGGTCTGTGAGTTGAGGAGGCTGCCCACAAGGCGTCTGCTTCATTTTGATCCGTTTACTTGTCCAGCGTTCAGTACACATTTACTGAGGCAGCAATTTCCAGGTTGAATCTGAAACGTATCCCAGATCGGGGCAAACCCTGAATGGCAATCTAATGACCCACTTTGGAAACCGCTGGGTCTCCTTGGGCAGTTTGGCCTGAGCGACTGAGTCAATCGTGGTACCCTAAAGCAATAGAGCAAAACCAAGCCAAGCCGGCTTGGAACGAAGAGCTGTGTCTGGGACAGCTCCATGTGACCTGCAGGGGTGCGGGCTGCCCGGGGAAGACAGGCAGCAGAGGACAGAAGAAAGAATCTGGAGGCAGGTAGGAACTGGGGGAGAGAGAGAACCATGGAAGCTGCTGGCCTAGAAGCTGCAGCTGAAAGCAGGCTGAGGAGGGCAAGGTCTGGAGTGTTCGGAGGGGAAGTCCAGGGCAGGGTTTGAGCCCTGGGAACCCCAGTGTCCCAGGGCAGGTGTGGCAAGAATCCATCTTTCCCCACTGCCAAGGGACACCACGGATGGCTAGTCAGAGAACCAGATGCCCAGAGGGGCTGGAGGAGAACCAGAGGGCTCCAGTCAGAGAACCCAAAGGAGGAGTCCTCAAGAAAGCTGCTGTGACGAACAAGGAGAACCAGAAGCTACGGACTGGATTTAGTGACACAGAAGTGGATGGAATGTGGGGAGGGGGTGCAGAAGCCAGGCTGAGGTAGGCTGGGGTTGCTGACAGGGGGGACAGTGAATACTTCTCAGGCATGTTCGAGAAAAGAGAAGAAGACAGACTGGAAAACGTGAGAAGAATCTGGCAGAGGAGGAGAGGCGGATGGAGGAAGGGGTGGGTCTGGACAGCCCCACGACCTGTCCAGTGGCCTGCCATTGCCAGGGACCACTTCGCCGAAGAAATCTGAGCAGATCCTACCTATAGGTAGACATAGGCTCAGCTGCTCTTACTGAAGCCACAGGCAGTGAGGGGCCAAGCGTGCCCATCCATGCCTCCCTTGCCTTCCCTGGAGCCTCCCAGCAGCCCCAAGCTCCTGGAATGCCCTAGCCTCAGACCACCCCTTCGTCTCAGAGAGAGCTGGCTGCCTGAAGCTACAGAGAAAATCTGGCAGTGGAGTCAGGAGCTGCAGCTTCTCCCCCACGACCGCCTCCAGCTCCTCATTCAGAGTGTTTGACTATACACTTATTCATTCAACAAACATTTACTGAGTGCTCACTGCATGCCAGGCACTGGGCCTATAAGGGGAGGGGCGAATGAAGAGATGTGTAGGAACTACTTCTGAACAGCCTAGAATATCCACGGGCATGTCCTATTATCCTCAAGGAGTGGGTATGCAGAGGGCTGTCTTGTGCTGATGGCCTCTCTTTGTGTAGACAGGGCTTCCCAGGGCCTGGGTTGGCCCCAGAAAGCTCTGGAAAGCCCTTTACCCTGAGCAGCCCAGTTTACCCTTTACCAGCCTTTTCCATTCCCAGCGGCTCAACACGATCATCCCAGCCCTCTGTGGGGCAGGTGTCCCTGGATGACAGCCTTCTCACCTGGCCTGGGACTCGGGCTTCCATTTCCGCAGCAGCAGTAACGACAGTAACAAGAACTTACCGAGCTTGTTCTGGCTCCCTCTGGACACCGCTCTGGGGACAGTAAATCCCACCGTCACTGTATTCCCCAGGGCATGCCTGGTGACAGTCCCCCTCAGACTGGGTATACCAATTTCCTCTACCTGACCATGGCAGCCATCCCTTGATGTTTAAAGATTTAACAGTGGACATTTCAACTACTGGGAAGAGAGGACCCCAACTCCAAGAAGGGGGACAAGTCACCAGTGGTACACATTTGAATAGACATTGGTGAGTGGGAGTGAGGGATTGGCTAGAGTGAGCCTGGGAGATGGGAGAGGACAAAGAGATATCGGAGGGGGCTAAGGAGGGGTCCTTGATTTCACACAGGCTCGTAGTCCTGAGTCATCAAGGAGAAGGCATGTTCTCTCAAACTGCATCAAGTGATGGTGGTTTTGGGGGGCACAGGAAACATCAGGAGAGAAAGCGGGTGGCTGCCATGGGGACAGGTGAAGGGGAGCCCCGGGTGGGTGGGGCTGGTGGAGACTAGGGGAGTAAGCCAAAGGGGGCTGTAGCCTTCATCCCCAGGGGTACACCCGATTAAGCCCATCACTTGGACTTACAGACATCAGGGAGCCATGAGAAGGATGTTATGGGCAAAGTCATCTCAAGGCTTCATTAGATGAAATGAATTAGTAAAGGAGGGGCTTCATGGTGGAGATGCTGCAGGGAGGGTTTCCTTAGGACAGTGAACTCTGACGAGGATGTTCTGTGGAGCACCAGTCCTGTGAGACATTCCTTGTGGTCAGTTAAGTTTGGGAAGGCCACTGGGCTTTCTCTTTTCTATGGCAGTCTCACAACACACATCACCACATTAAAGGCTCTGAAAAGTCCTGTGGTCATAAAAGCTACTTAACTTGTCTCAGCATTTCCCACATTCATTTGGCCATGGAATTAAAAAAACAAAAAAGTAATCTCATTAATATCCCTCAGAGGAACCCCGCCCCACACTTTGGGAAGTGCTGATATGGAGGGACCAGTAAAGGACGGATGTCGCTTGCAAATGTCAGGGGTCTTCTGTGTTGCCCTCCCCAGACCCCTCATAGCACATCAGCCCCTCATCAGACCCTTGGAGCCCTCTGGCCAAACATCTAGAAACATTGTCTGCAACCCTATCTCCAAGCCCAGCCCTTGCCTGGCCCCGAGACACGGAGGATGTAGGAAGGAGACTTACAGGGACAGGGACGTTTGAAGGACATGTAATCCTTGGAACAGAATAGCGGAGCCAGCCTGCCGACTTGTTGAGTCCCGACTTAGAGTAAAGAAGGACCTGCTGGTCACCTGTAGAGACACAAACAAGCAGATGATGGGGGAACGCCCACACAGCACCCCCTGATCCCCAAGATACTCATGTCCCTTGGCTGTGCACCTCTGGGGTAAAGGTGGGGACTTTGACAGCATAAGCCCAGTCTGGGCATGGGTGGGGGTTGCTGGGGGAGCTCTGGGCTGCAGAGTATGAGGGTTCTGGGGCAGAGGTGGGGTAAAAGCATGTGGAGATCTCAGTGATGGGTGGAGGGGGGAAATCTTGTCTGGGCGGACCCTTGAACAGGCATGAGAGATCCCCTGGAGTTCTCCTGTCTCTTGAACCTGTGAGAAGCCACTGCTTGAGACAACTGCAAGGGACCATGGCATTCTGAGCATCTTATAACTGGAAGGACCCTTCAAGACCAGCCCAAGGCCCTCCTATCACAGAAGGGGAACAGACCTGGAAAGGGTGAGGAACACGTTCAAGGTCCCAGAGCTGGCTTTGGAAGGGTGATTAGAGTTGCTTAACTGAAACCTTATTATTATTATTCCTGTTGTCCCAACACCTTTAAGGGGATGATGCTCTTTTCATTCTCATTTTATAAATAAGGAAGTTGAGGCTCAGAGAGAGGTAATGTAGCTTGTCTAAGGTCACACAGCTTCTAATTACAGGCTGGGACTAGACCCCAGGTCTGTTTGACTCCAAAGCCCCCATTGTCAGCCAGCACTTGACTTAGAAGGCACCTAATAAAGGCCAAGAGAATGCAAATGTCTCTGCCCCCAAATCCCCGGTCCCCATGTGAGCCTGGTGTGATACTGGAAAGCCCATGCAGCAAGAGAGCGCCCATGTGCAAGAGAGGAAACGTTTTTAAAAAGCAACGTAGCCTTCCATGCTGCCAAAGGTCTGAGTTGCTTCAGTCTCTTTTGAGCTCCAAGTGACGCAAACCTGTAAGAACAGCAGGGAGATACGATTCCTGTTTTCTAGGGAGTGTGGTCACTAGACTTGCCGAGACCAAACTGCACCTCTGGGGGTTGCTGAGCAGGGACCGTGAATATGGAGCTCAGTGGGCTCTTGCGGGGAAAGCTTGTAGCCAGAAGCCAACAGGCAGAGAGCATGGCCCCTCTAGGTCCCAGGAGGCAGCTGACCTCCCTGGTCCCGGGGATGACACTGGGGACAGAACTTCTGTGTAAGGGGCAGGTCCAGAGGTCCCCATCCTTGTCTCTCACAGAGACCCTTTTTATTATATACCTTTTTCCCCTCCAAATGGGAGCCATGTTTTGATGGAGACCATTGGCCAAACTGCACTGATTAATACATTTTTTTTTTTCCTATTTAGTCAATGAACCAAGGACTTATCTTTGGAGAGGCTGAGCTCAGAAGTCCAGTCCCCAGGTTGGTATCAACTCTGCCACTCCCGGGAGTGTGATTTTGGGCAAAGCACTTCACCTCTCTGAGCTGTGGTGTCCTCAGGGGGAAAGCAGGGTAAGGCCCTTCGCCAGGTTCGAGGATGAGAGGTATGTACTTCATGTTCATTCTGATGTCTGAGGGGATGGGAGGGAGGGAGCCATTGCTGCTGCTGACCCTGGAATCCCTCTTTCCAGATGGCTCCTTCCAGCTCAGCCTTCTGGGTGTGAACCCCGGGCTGGTCTGATGCCCACTCCCAGTCCTCACAGAAACCAACAAGAGTTTTGATGGGGGAAGTGAGGGTAGGATGTGATCTCCCGAGGCCTGGTAGAGAAGTCTCTCTGGTGTGGCAGGCTGCTTGGAGAGCTGTGATTTCACACCAGAAAATTCATGAAGAATCTCAGGGCTTGGGATCTACACTTTCTAAAAATACACGTGTGTACATGGGTCTGTGTTCGTGTTTGTGGGTGCGCCTGTGTGCACTGCAGCCATGTATGTGTCTGAAGGGGGACTTAAGTGGGCTGACAGGTCATCTCTTGTGCTGCTTCCAGAGAGGTCTTTCTTAAAGGTGAAATGGATCATGTCACTTTCTTGCTGAAAACCCTTTCATAACTCCCTGGTATTTTTAGGTGAATGACCTGACTTCTACCATGACCTCCATAGCCCTGGGGCTTTGCTCACCTCTCTGGGGAATTGGCATAATGTGGGTGTTTATTAAAAATATGCTGAATGTATACTTGCTGTAGGGCCACACTGGTATTATGTGGGGGTGCTGACCACCCCCTAAACTCCAAGTGGTTGTCCCCAAGGTCTTGCTTCTCCTAGAGGCCCCCTGTACCCTCTCCTCTTTCCTGCCCCTGGACCCTGTGACTCTTAGATGAAGGCTGAGGCTGTGGGGGTAGGGGGTGGGGAGGTGGGAGATGGGCTGCCTAGGGCAGGATGCACCAAGAACCCTCGCATCGCACATTTTGCGGTCAGTCTGGGTGTTTGGTGGACAATGTGTAAGTTTCCCAATGGCTCAGGAGGCTGGCAAGGGACCAGGTCAGGTAGACATTTCTGTATATGGAAGCCTTCTGGGTACTTGAGTTTTCAGGTGTGACCTACACTCACCAAACAGCTGCACATGCCAGGTAATGGGATCAACATTCCTGTCACATGTCCCCTGATGTGGGTAGCATCGTTTTCATTTTGCAGATGAGAAAACTGAGGCTCAGTGACTTGGCCCATCTGAGTTCACAGAGAACAGATGGAGGAAGACCTGTGCAGGGTGGGGTCCTGTTCCCCAGTGTTCCCCAGTTACACCAGGGACACCCCACAGAGATTGGTGTTCTGGCTGGCCAGCTTTCTGGACGTTCCCTGGCCTTTTATACCTCCAGGCTATTCCCTGTCCCTCGCATGTCCTTCCCTTCCTCTCTACCTGGCATACTCCCATTAGCTTTCAACATTCAGCTCAAGAAACCTCTTCAGTGAACTCCTCTGCGACTGCTGTAGATGGAATAGTCACTTTGGCTGTGCCCCCACAGCACCTGGACATCCTTCCAGGACAACTCTTCTTCTAACTTGTTCTAGATTATTTGTTTCTTGTGGGGGTATGCAGGACGAGTGTGGCCTCTGGGAATTCATTTGGGGCTGGGCATTGAGGGGACATTCCAAAGTACGAGGAATCTAGAAAAATCTCCCTTGGTCTGATGTCAGCATCAGACTGCAGTGTTGAGGCTGCCTTTTAATGATGCTCAGCTTCCTGAGGAGAAGGACGCCCATGTAAGGAACTTACATGGTTCATGACATCGTGGGTGACAATGATGCTGACGTTAGCTAGGGTACCATTCCCTGCATCATGTAACCCAATCTGTACCTCACACACATCTTCTTGCTGCATTCTCCCAGGATCTCTGGCTTGCATCAGTTTATTCAAATATTTACCAAGCTCCAAGAGCGTGTCACACAAAACCCTTGGAAAACAAAAGGAGGGGCTTTGGGGGGGGGTCCTAAAATGGCAATCTCGGCCTCACTGTGTTTTCCTCCCCTCTGCCAATTGTGGATTTCAACATGGGAACCTACAGGAAAACCATTTCGTGGTAGCATCAGATCCTCTGCTTGGGTGGAGCTTGGGTTGGGGTCATCGAAACAAAGGAGCTGGATGTCAGGTGTCTGTGTGCGCAAGTGCCCACCCTGCTCTCCCCACATGTGACCAGAGCGGGAGTGAGGACACAGCAGGGTGGGGGTGGTGGATGGCCAGGTCTGGCACGGATGGGCTGAGATTGTGTTTTGCTGGGCGACGAGTTCCGAAGCGGGGACTGCGGGAGTGGGGGGTTGGGATTGGACCCAATCTCAGGTCACGTCTCCCCCTGCCCGCCTGTCTCGGAGCCCGGCATCCGAGGCGAGGCGCGTTCCTGTCTGTGACTCATCTGCGACAGTATTGTCTGGCTAGGAATCGGAGGGCGGGCGGCGGCGGCACTCCAGGCTCTGAAGTGGCTTAATGGTGTGCGGCAAGTCCACGTCACTCCCATTCCGCCTCACGTCCCCGCTCCCAGAATACCTCGTCTGGGGCCCACTGCGACACTCAGACCTGGGCAAATGCGTATGTGGCGGCGGGGGGGGGGGGCAGCGCCGCGCCCCTGGCGGGCAGAGCCTGGCTGGCGGAGCAGAGCTGGCGCAGACAGTGTGCAGAGGCGGCACGGCGCATGCGCGGCAGTCGGACCCGGGAGGGTTGTGCCGCACCGCGGTAGACCGCGGACAGCGAGGGGCCGCAGGAGTGGGCTGGCCTGTGGAGGAGGCCACGTGACGCTGTGACGCCGCTGCGGCGCCCGCTCTACCGCAGTCACGTGTCGTCGGCCCAGGGGATCGCAAAACAAACCCCCCATTTTGCAGATGTCAACACTGAGATTCAGAGAAATGAAGGGAGCTGGGTGAGATAATGAGCTCCCGGCCCCAAGACTGCCCTTTGGAAGATTTTAAGCAAGGGAACCACACGGTCTCCTTTCAGGAAGGTCCCCCTGGGCTCAGTGGAGAGGGCGGACCAGGGGTGGAAGGCAGGTGGCAGGGGAGCAGGGTGGCTGTGGCAGGAGATGATGGGTCTAAATGAAGGCGACACGCAATGGAAAAAAGAGTGAGAGGTTCGATGGGGATAGAGAAGTGAGGGAAACACTGGCCATACCTGTCCTCACCGAGCTTCTTGCTAGCAGAGGAGAGACACACGTAATGGTGGGGTTTGTTAGATAACAGTGAAGGACGGAGGCAGTGTGGAGGTGGAGACTGAACATTTACGTATAGTGGCTTCAGAAGGCCTTGGTGAGGGGGTGACCTGTGAGTGAAGAATGGAGGAAGGGAGCTTTAGGAAGGGATAGATAGGTGCCTATCTCGGAAAGGAACAGACAAGTGTAAAGAACCCTGGGCAGGAGCATGCTGGGTAGGGCACGCTGTGTATGGAACAGTGAAGAAGCAGGACAGAGAGATCAGATACAGAGGGTGAGGAAGAGGGAGCAGTTAAAGATGGTTCCCTGTGTCTGCTTGGGTGACTGGGGGATGGTAGAGAAATGGAGAACCTTCCAGAGATGGGTGATGTGGAGACTCTAGGTATAGATAGCCCAGATAACTACTGGTTCTT